CATTCGGGAAAAATATTCTCAAGTGATCAGATCGGAAGACGTATCCGTAGGGGTAAGACCTGTATCGACGTTTGGTTTTTCGTTGTCAGGCGGAACAGACTTGGACAATAATCAGTATCCCGATCTGATTATCGGTGCTTACGAATCAGACACAGCTTATTTCATGAAATCTAGACCCGTAGCTCAAATGACCACGTCCGTGTATTTCAAGTCTGAAAATAAGCAAATAGCGCTGGAACGTAGAGAGTGTACGACCAAAGACGGTACTCTGGTCCCCTGTTTATTTTTGTCCACTTGTTTACAGTACACGGGAATTGGCGTCGATGATCAACTGAGTAAGTAAATGCTAAATATTAATAAATAATAATACAGTCATAAAATTAGCGTGTTTAAATATTACTGATAATTTATTTTTGAAGATATTGAAATGCAACTGGTACTGGATGCTAAAAAACCAAAATCTCCGAGAATGTTCTTTTTATTGGATGAGAACAGAAATGTATTGAACCATAGTTTAACACTGGATAAGAATGACCAATCTTGTAAGACATTCAACGTTTACTTGAAGGTAAAAGGCTTGAATAATTTTTTTTTTAAATATTTTTCAAATAAAATCACACTATTTTTTTTTAATTTTAGAACAATGTTAGAGACAAGTTAACGCCGTTAGAAGCAGAGTTAAGATACAGAATTATTGAGGAGAATAGAAAATTTACTAGAACTCTAACACCAGTAATAGATCTGGATAACGAATTATTTGCCGTATCTAGAGACTCTATAAGTATACAAAAGAATTGTGGAGGAGATAATATTTGCATACCAAATCTTCGGCTTATTGCTACACCGTAAGAACGTATTACTATAATATTAATGATTAACTTTTATCAATTATTTTTTGTTTGGTTTTTAGAGATTCCGAGTCTTTCTTACTAGGTTCAAATAAAAAATTGAAAGTTGACGTTATAGTACAAAACGAAGGCGAAGATTCTTTTGAGACCACTTTTGACATGACTGTACCTCCAGGCATCAATTACGTAAAAATAGAAAGAGTAGATAATAATGAAAACGATATACCTGTGCAATGTTCAGCTCCGTCAGAAATGACCAACAACACTTTACATTGTGATATTGGAAATCCATTACCACGAGATAAATATGTTAGTTACATGTATAACTAGTTATAGCTATATTTCATACTTACACACATTTACACATCTTTAAAATAGAAATATAACAAATATTGAACTATTTAATTAAATAATTTGCTACCTGATTATTAATTAAATATTTTGTAGGTACAATTTAAAGTTGTTTTGGAACCATATCAAACTACTGAAACTAAGGCCAAATACGAATTCAACATGGTGGTGAACAGCACAAATCCTGAACGTTTTGATTCCATATCAGATAACATGAAATACTTAGGAGTACCTCTTTGGGCGGAAACCGATTTGATCATTGTAGGATCATCAAAACCTGTGGATGTACACTACAACATAACGATGGAAGAATCTCTAAATATTACCGATGAAAAGCAAATTGGCCCACAGGTTATTCACATATACGGCATTCGAAATAAAGGTCCTTCTGATATATTAGAAGCTGAAGCTTACATTGACTGGCCTATGTTTACGTTAGCAGGTAAATACATTTTAATTTAATTCTAAATTTATCGAGGTATAAATATTAATGTACAAAATATGAAATTTAAAATCAATTTATTGATAATTTAAATGTTCTATCTTAGGAGAACCACTGTTATACTTACTTGAAATGCCTGAAACAAATGGACAGGTAAAATGTGAAGCTATTGAAGAAATTAATCCATTAAAATTAAATGTAAGTATTGGCTCGATGAGTGTATAAACAAGTACCCACTTATTAACCATTCGGTATTAATGCTTTTGCATGATATGCGTTTGCAGATCGATCGTAAAAGGAAATCGTATTTCGAATCGAGTGGTTTGATCTCTAGCGGCTCAGGTGCGTCTGTCACTGTTAAGGGTTCAGAAAGTACTAGTTCGAATTCTGCTGGTGCAGTCGTTACGAAAACCAAAACGTTTGCGGAACTGACGGAAGAGGAAAAAAGACGTTTCATGGAAATCCAAAAGAAAGAAGAAGAAGAATCGAAATTGCAGTGGGGTGACGGCTCGTACGAACAAAAAATTCGATATCAAAACTCCAAACACGAATCGACCGGAACGATAGTGAATGGCGGCATGAGCCATAACCGTAACGAGGGTTCCGGAGCGACAGTCGTTACCGACGTCAACCGAGGACCAAAATTCATGATCGGATCATCAGAGAGCGGCGGAGGCGTAGTCCACAGCGAATATTCGGGTTCAAAGTCGACGAGCGTGGTGACAGGTGGTCAACGAGGCAGCGAAGTCTCCGGCACTTCGGTGGTTACTAACGCGAACAGAGGACCAACGTTCACCGTCGAGTCATCTGAAAACAATGGCGGCGTAGTTCGCAATGAGTACGAGTCGAAATCCTCGTCCTCGGGTTCCACGGGTAGCACATCGAGTGCGCAAGGCAACCGTTGGTCTGTAGCTGGTGGAACAGAGAGTGACGTCCGGCATGGTTCATCGTCTCGCGGTGTGTATGGCGCTGCTCACTTTGACGAGTCTGAGTCGTCGTCGGGCAGTACGACTTTCCAGATGGGTGCGTCGTCATCCGGTGGTACGTCACGCGTCAATACCGTGGGCACAGATTCTCGCGTGGCGGGATCGTTCGAAAACAACGCCGGATCAGAATCCCGTGGTCAGTCATCTGTGACCTTCATCCAGAGCGGATCGGAAGTACGTGGTGGATCAAAAGTATACAGTGGATCGGAAACACACGGCGGATCGGAAGTACGCGGTGGATCCGAAGTATACGGTGGATCCGAAGTATACGGTGGATCAGAAGTATATGGTGGATCGGAAATGCGTGGTGGATCGGAAGTACGCGGCGGATCAAAGGTATACACTGGATCAGAAGTACGGGGTGGATCGGAAATACGCGGTGGATCGGAAGTACGAGGCGAATGGTCGTCCGGCGGTCAATCGTCAGTGACTTCACGTGGCGGAGGTAACGGTTGGGAAACGTCTAAGACGACTGCCGAATCACGAGGAGAAAAATGGTCCCGCGACAACGGATTCGGTGGACAATTGAATCAAGGCACCAGTGGCTGGCACCAGGGCACTAAAAACTTCACGAGTTTCCGAGAATCGGAAAAGAGTCACGTGGCCAACACAACATGGGATGACTCTGTGGGCGGTGGCATGCCGAAAACGTATGTGACAGATCGGTGGAGGACCAACAACGACGGAGTGGTGCGCAACGGCAGTTCATCACATGTCGTAGACGGTGAGGCGTTAGACTACAGGGACGCTGCGGTGCGCAGGATGAACATTGCGGCAGGGGCGGGCGGCGTGACCAACGTCTTAGGCGGCACGACAGGCGACGACAGCGACTTATCAATTAGCCTGACCGGCGGCGCACCAGTCACTGAAAGGCAAAACCAGGGATTCAAGCAGACCAAAGTAGATGAGTCGGAAACGGTGCAAAGGTGGCGGACGGTAGACGGAAAACTGTACCGCGCCAACGCGGCAGGCACCTGGGACACGTTGCACACGATTTCTGACGGTAGTGGGTCGACAAACGTGTACGAGGCGCAAGACCTGAGTCCGCAAAACTACGTCAAACCGACCGATGTCGATGGCAAGTTTAAGCTGTACACCCGGTTCCGGAGAGACACGCAAACCAAACGGTGTGGTCCCACAAGGTGCGTGACCGTCAAATGTAAGATTGGGCCATTGACCAAAGACCAAGAGGTGTGGCTGTCGTTTAGGTCCAGGGCTTGGGTCAGCACTCTGAAAAAGGTATTTATTAATGTTCCAAGTTTAAAACTACTGCCGGACAATTGCAACACTATGGACCAAAGAACCTTTACTTCGAACTTGGTACCTGTTTCACGACTAATAATGTATCTGGTTTCCATTTGCAGGTGGCGCTCAACAGACCGGTGACGCTGAGTTCTACGTTATCCGCAAAAGTCACAAAGCTGCAATACATCGGCAAGCCGGAAAGCAAACTCGCTCAGGTCAGAAGCTACGAAGTGTTCACGGAAGTCATACCTAGAGACCTAGCTGTCAAACCGGACATCATTCCGCTTTGGATCGTTGTCTTGGCCGCCGTCGCTGGGACGGCTATCCTTTTGTTACTTGTGTACCTACTCTACAAGGTGAATTTCGTCATAAAATGTTCATAAAAACATAATATCAAAAAAGCTCATGTTTTGAGCTTAAACCTTTTCCAAAAAATTAAATACTTTCCATACATTAACAATTTTGTAATGTTATCAGATGTTTCCTGTTGGCTGTTAGGAGAATATTAAAATAAGTGTACCATAAAAGTAATTCTAATAAAACTTTAAAAGAGAAAATTAGATGAAAGTACCAGTACCGTTTTTGATCATTGGGTGGTCAAAATATTTCGACCACAGAACCGTTTTATACAATTTTTCATCTATTTTTTACAATATTAAATCAACAAATTTAAAGATTAAACTAATAATGTCGCTTAAAATAATAATTTACTAAACACACACTAAAATTTGATTAAATAGCTGTAGAGGTAATAGCCATTAATTTTGGTTTAAAAGAAATATTTCAGTAGATTTTAATGAAATTGATAACATTCAAATCTTAAAAAATAATTTATTATATTACCGTTATGTATTATCATAATTAAATCTAGACGCTCCTTTAAGATTTAACCTATTAAAGTATTATTTTATTAAAAAAACAAACTGATTTTAATAAAACTTTATTAAATTGATAACAAGTAAAATATCATAACACATAGTATAAATATATATAGTTGTATGATTTTAAATTTGTTTAATAAAAACTAATTTTACATTTCAAACACATAAAAATGTATTTTTTTTAATAATTTATTTTTTGATGTTTGGTAGTGTGGATTCTTCAAACGTAATCGACCATCTAGTGCACCAGAAAAACAACCATTAACACACAGAAATGGACAAGCGGAGCTTTATCAAACAGGAGACGAAGCTTTATAAAAACATTCAACTTTATTCTGCTAAAAAAAAAAAAAAAAAAATAGAATTAAAAAATTAAAATATGATTGGAAATTAAATAAATCACCACATTAAACCACCTAACTAATATTAATTTGTTATAATTTATTTTGTAAATATTTTAAAGTAACTATTAAATATTATGTTTTTTTTGTAAATAGTATATATACATTTGTTTTATTTTCTTACATTTTGAAATAATAATGTAAATTTTAGTCTTATTGTAAATTAAATTATTATATGAATCTATTAATTAATTAACTGTACTTAAACCTTGAGAGTAATTATTTTTACAAAATGAATTAAATATATTGTTATAGAATTATAACGCTCTAGTCTAAAAATAAAAATTGTAAATTGAGTTGCATTTTCATTTTTACAAAATTAACATTCAGTTGTAAAATTTGAGTTTTTAACTATGACTTAATAAGATATCAATAATTTATGCTTGTGAAATTAAAACAATTATCAATATTCAATTTACTTATCTTAATAATGACTGATAATTTTTGGTTTATTTTTAATTGAAAAATAAATTATAAAGTGTAAATAATAAATGTTTTTTTTTTATTTTATGAATATTTATTTCTCAATTAAAGAATTTGATTGCATTTATTATTGTTAAAAAGCTATCACAATAGAAAAAATCAACCAAAAAAACATGCTTAATATGTATTTTCTTAATAGAAAATAATAAGCAATATCCTATTTAAAAAAAAATATATAAATATATACTATAGGTAAATTATAATTTATGTGAAATTAAATATGATACCACAAAATAGATGAGGCCAATTTTATTTCTTTATATTAACAACATTTTTAATGTAAAAATAAAAGGATTCTTAATTGCATTTGCAGATGATATATGTATCTTTTAATCAAACAAGTCGCGGAGTAAAATATATGAAAATTCTTCTATGGGTTTCAAGAAAGTAATTTTAAATCATATAAAGCTATCCAGAAATGTAAAAAAATTGTTTTTATGCCATTTTTCAATAATAAATCCAATTTAAATTATAATAGTATGATATAGTATTAGCATTACAATCCATGGTAGTAAATATAATAATAATAACTGTAATCCACAGAACTGTAAAATAAAAAAAGTATAAGAAATATGATACTTCAGCATTGTTTTTTTTAAATCTAAGATGGAATTTACATGAAAAAAATGTAATATGAAAGCTACAATTCATAACATAGAAATTGATCAAATTCAAAAATATAGTACAAAAACATTTTGCTCATTGTATCAATAAAATTTTCGACACAGTTATTAATATGGTGTGCCCTTTAAAATAATAAATTGAATGAATCAAAATAATATTATTTGAATTTGTTTAAAATAGTACAAGTTTCAATGACCTACAAATTATAATTACAAAAAAATTAATTGTTTTTTCCAAGAGATACATATAATTAAATAATTTTCATTTTGTACATAATTGAACTATGTGTCATCTAAATAATGTGTCAATTATGTCCACCTTTAAATTATTTTTTAAATGAGTTTATTACTAATTTAAATTGTTTATTTTTATATAATTATATAAAAAAACATTTTTTACAAAATAATATTATGTAATTTTATAAGTAATTGCTTAATATTGTATGTGTACTGTGTAGTAAATACTTATAACCTACCACTAACACAAGCTATAAGCTTACAGGAAAGGTCAACAAAATTATGATTGAAAAAAAATAATTTATTGTGAGTTTAATTTAATAGATCAAAAATTTAAAATAATATACTTAAAATTAAATTCGTAAATTTGAGTTATTAACACCAACAGTAATAACATAAGCCAATAGATTATATACCTCATCTTTAACACTATCAAATGTATTAAAAATTGTTGCCAATGTGTCAAATTATTCTTTAGACACGCTACACAATGCTGTTTTGACATCAGGTAATTTGTAAACAAAATTTAAGTTATTTAATTTGGTTGGTTCAACAGCTTGTCCTTCTAAAACCATTTTAGCACGTTCTCTTCCAAATATTAATTTGAAAATAATTCCTGGAACTTTTAACACAAAACTATGACCAAAGACTTCAACAAAACTTTTGGCAAAGTATTGATGGGTAATTATCTGAAAAACAATAAAATTAACTATATTGTTCAAATTTAGAAAAAAATTAAATATTACTTCAGGTGCAACTCCATTGACAATACCTTCTACACCGTTGTTTTCAATAGAAAACAACACTATACGACAAACGTCGTCAATATGTATCCAAGGAAGGAATTGAGAACCATTACCCATACATATTCCTAAACCAAAACGAAAGAATGGATAAAGCTGACTTATAAATCCACCATGTCGGCCAAATACAACCCCTATAAACCATAAATAAATTGATAAGATATTTTGGTGAAATAAAAAACAATTATTATACATACCTAATCTAATTATAACTGAACGTACATCATCTGATTTTGGTATAGCACTTTTTTCAATCCCAATTGCTAATTTTGATAAATAATCAAATTCTTTAACATCATAACTTTCTGTATATGGTTTACATTTATCTGTATTAGGTGGATAAATTCCTGAAATGAAATCAAAAGATAGATATTTAAATTTAAATATGTAACTACCAACAATTTTAATTAAAAAGAATAACTATGTGTTATTTGATCTGTACATAAATTTCCATTTCACATTTTGAAGATAATATTAAAATGTTTGATACAATTAAATTTGTATAAGTGATGTTTACAAATTAAAAATAGTTAAATTGTAATGCTGACTATGTTAAAATGTTATCCAGCATATTGTGAACTATTGCTACACAGTATCAATTAAAATAATCAGCAGCAAAAATATTAATTAAAATCATCAAATTAATCAAAACACACCTACTCCGGAAAAAGATATAAATAATTTCGGTTTTGGTGTTTTCATTTTATTGATTGCATCCACAAGGTATTGATTAGTCATAACTCTACTATCCCATACAGTTTTTTTGAACTTGCTGGTCCAAAATCGTGTAGGTTCAAGAATTGGTTCGCCAGCAGCATTAATAACGGCTACAGTATCATGTGGAATTTCATTTTTTTTTATCTGATCCTATAAAAAAAAAATAAAATAAAAATCATAACTACAAAAACTTCAATTTAATATTTTTGATTTGATTTAGTTTTTACCCAACTTATGACAGAATCAGATTTATTGTTTTTTCTAGATATAATAGTAACATCATAATTTTGATTCTTGAGATACTGTTTTAAATATTTTCCAACAAATCCTGTTCCACCTCCTGGAAAATAAAACAGATATTAATAAAAATAATAAGAAAATCTACACAAAGAAAATATAAAGTCTTTTATATTATCTTTGTCTTAAAAGTGTATAACATAATAAATATGCTTTCAGTAAATTTAGAGATTATCAAATTTAAAATTATGAATATTATCTAAGTCAATTATTTTAATATTTTAATTTTAAAACAATTAATGAGCTTTTAAAAAAATAATATGTTACATACTAATAATTTGGTTTAAAATTAATACCTTAAGAAAAACTGAAGCGAGACCACAGATAATATTCTTACCTTTAATTTTAATAAAATATTAAAAATAACAACATAAGCGTGCACCATGTCCTCTTAATGGATAACTGAATAATTAATGAGAAAAATTTTGGACTAAAACAGATATTAAAAACTACTTTGATATTTTATTCAAATCAATTTACATTTATTTCAATGTATTTTTGAGAACAAATGGAAAATTCAAAATTTTAGGTCACACAACAAAACAAATTATTTTTATGACCTAATTATTCATACAAAAGAAAATATGTATAAAAATACTATATAAATAAATTAATGAACAAATATAATAAATAATATCATACCGATTAACACTCTCCCTTTACTTGTCATTGAATAATTTCGGCTTATAGAAATCATGATTAACAAAATTTAAGATTAATATTAAACAATCCTAAAAGGTTGAGACGAATCGATGGCAAAACCTTAATTTAAAGACACACTTAAATTCAACTTCGTAGTTTGTAAAAATATAATCATATATTTTAATCTTTTTATAGTTTCATATTATGGTACTTAAGACTCGTATGGCAACATATTATACCATAATGATATTACAATTTATAAAAAACATAAATATTATTTAATTTTTAACTTGAATAAATGATATCAGTGATATCACATATTCATATTACCATTATCATTTTTCCGTACAAAACATATGGAACACAGAAAATAATATGGATAACCGTACAATTGTACAGTGCTGCCTACTTACTCTGACTTTTAAAACTTTCACCGGGTTTCTTGGCTGATAAACATTTCATACCCATGCCACGTTTTTCTTATACGTAGATAACCTCAAATAACCATTTTGTATGTTGGATGCACTGTGTCTGTAAGAAATTTCTCGGGCTTGTTCCACGGCGTCATCTTTCTGACTCTTCGTCTGTCACAAACAAATTTGTTCCTGAATAGAGCTGAACTCTCTGTTCCGCTCCGAATTTCTCGCCTTTGGTAAGTACTTGATATATATTAATTTAAAATTTTTTTTTCCAACTTTACTGCATCAACGTTAACATTTATCCGTTCAATTATTTATTATAATTAATTTACCTAGTTTTTCTTTAACAACGTAATTTCTTCGGTAATCTGTTACCGTTCATGTTTTATATAGTTACCCTTCGCACGTGTTTGCGCATATTTCGATAGCTGCTTTAATTTATTATTTCTCTATTATGATTTTAGATTTGTCGTTAGCCCGATTATGAGGGCTAAGTGGCGTAAGAAGCGTATGCGTAGGTTGAAGCGCAAGAGGAGGAAGATGCGTGCAAGGTCCAAGTAAACCTCGTGGCCTGCACAAGACAATATTATCATGTTTTGGTAAACATTAAACGATATTGAAACTTTTATATTAAATCATCTAAACAGTAATAAACTCTTTCTGTTCAACTTATAAAACGACTTTTTTTTTTTATAAATATACACCTAACCAACGTAAATTGTCTTTGTGACATTTTTAGGTTAACTAATGCTATATCCTTCGGGATGTCCGTATATTATAGTTTATTACCAATGTTTCTGACAAGCGAAGACATCATGTTTGTCATTAACGTCGGTTAAGTTTTTAGATTAAGCGAAGCTGGTAAATCGTGTTGATTTGAACATCAGGTTTTAACATTTTTTTACTATATTGTTGGTTCTTGATCAAGTTTTTTTGAAGACTTATCTTTCATTAGTATGGTTAATGTAATAATGTGTTAATTCATGACAATTTTTATGATGATATATTTATTAATGTTGGTGTAACAAAAAGGTGATTTGAGTTTTTTTTATAAATTAACCTTCTTGGTACAAAATAAGAATATTCTAATAATTAGTCTAACTACTAAATCATCCTTAATTTAAGGTAATGTAAAATGAGGTTCTTTGTTTTCTATTAGTTTGTATCAAATGTTTAGTGAAATATTTATATTTTTATTAATTGTAACTCTTAACTTGAATAATTCCCATACGTATCATGTCATGCTATAAAGGCATGATTTAGATATTTTGTTACAACTGTATTTAATTACATTTCATTTAATGGTTACAACACATGGTATTGATTTATTAAATACACCACCTTTCAATATTTTTTAATTTTATAATCATCTAAAGATATGCTATAATGTTTCAAAATTATTTTATTTCATCGACCCTTAATATTCCTTAAAGCATCTTCAATTTCAAAATATTGGAATTTAAATCCACTTTCCAAAGTCCTTGTTGGTAAAACTTTTCTTCCTTCCAATATTAATTGTGTTCTTTCTTCTCCAAATATAGTCTTCAATAATATTCTAGGTGTATTTAATATCATTGATGGCTTTTTTGACATTAGTGTATAGATAGTAATTAATTCTTCATTAGTTATGCACTAAAATTAATTCAATTAAAAAACTTAATATAAATGTTTTAATCACCTAAATTACTAAATAAAATATATTTTTAAAAAATTCTGGTAAATGCTATTTATTGCTATCCAAATATTATTCTGCCTTGTCAAAAATTATAGCCAATAGGTAGGTATGGAATACTAATACTTAATTTTATAATTAGTGGGTTTGTTATTAGATGGTATTTATATCAATTTAATTAAATAGTATTAAACCATAACTTACATTTGGTGATACTCCATTCAATATTCCACATACTTCTTTGTTTTCAATTGAAAATAGTATAAGGTTTAATAAGTCGCAGATATGTATCCAAGGCTGATGTTGACATCCATTTCCTATACGAGTTCCTATTCCTATAGCAATGAGATATTTCAAACATTTCAGAAATCCACCATCATTACCCAGTACTGTTCCTGATGTTAAAATTATAATAAATTAAATTGATTGGTTAAAACCAAATTGATACTGTTAATATTTATAATATATCTTATTTATTCTAATTGGGCCTGGCCTGTTTAAAATTTAAATAAATAAATGTATTAATCATGTATATTACATTAAATTGAATTATAAAATATTAATTAGTAATATATATGGATTAATTATTACTAAATATATCACACAATGCAAACCTGTTCTGATCGATATCTTACGAAAAGGAAAATTGTTTGAAGCTTGCTCCCATTCCATTCCTAATTTGGTGAAGAAATTACAGTCTATCATTTGGTTTGTAGGTATAAATTGTTCTGTGTGAACTCCGTCTGATGGATACATATCTATTGTTTGTGAATTTAAATTATAATAATTTAAGTTATTTTACTCAATATCTACAATACCAGTACTAGTGATTGTAATGAACACATTGGGCTTGCATTTGGTTAAATTTAATATGTCAGTAAGTAACATTGTAGAACCGACTCTACTAATCCAAATTTTTTGTTTAAAGTGACTTCCAAAATATTTAAAAGGAACCATGATGGGTTCACCAGTCAAATTGACCACAGCAGTTATGTTTTTTGGGAAGACCATTGAGTATTAAATCAGCCTACACAATAAACATGATTAAAAAATATATAATATAAAATTCTACAATAATACCCAATTAATGATGTGTTTTTCTCCGGTCTTAATTCTAGATAATACCGTGACTTCGTATTTTTCTCTTAACAGCAATTCTCTCAAGTTTCTGCCAATAAATCCAGTTCCTCCACCTAAACATCAGTTATTAGACATTTTCGTAATAAAATTGTTACCTTCAGAAATACTGTACCAATTAGCACATGACCCTTGGTACTATACAAAGCTGTCTGTATAAATCTAAATGATGTTTTAAGTAGAACACAATTTACCAATGTGTTTTTCATTTTATTTTATATCTAGAACTCAATATGTAGTAAGTAAATAAAATCAATTCATAGTTGTGTCTAATATCCAAAATACTAAATAAAAATATAGCTGTTTTTAGTGTTGAAATCAAGACGTGATGTATGGTTTAGGATAACAAACCTACTAAGGAGAATATGCCATAGAATATTAGAATACATTAAATATAATCAGAAGTTACAACAATATATTATGATTGATTATTGCCCTGTTGCATGAAAAATGTATTATTAGGCCACTAAATTATGACTAAAGAATCATTTCAATATTGATTCAAAATGTTTAGTAATAATTGATAATGTACTCGGCACTGTGTCAAAAATAGTTATATACTACTAAAAAGAATATAAGACATAAAAGTAAAATTTTATTCATTTATAAGTGATAAGAGATAGAAATTTTAAGGATTTTTAGGTAATTTCTAAATGGAAGCCAGATTTATATGGTACGGCAAATATAAAAAACAAGATTGAATGAAAACAATTTTATTTAATATTCATATTATATTCTAATTCCATAATAATCACAACCAATTAAATTTCGTTTAAACATAATCAATATTTATGATAAACTCCAAACATAATGTTATGAGTTAACATAAATGAAAAAAAAAAAATGTAAATTTATAAATAAAAATAAATACTATAATGATAATACGAAACATAAACAATGTAACTAATAAATACAAAGAAAACAAAATTAAACATGGAACTGTAATTGTAACTGTTAAAGCAGTATAATACATGCTAAAAACATAGTTATGTTGTATTTTACAGATGTCCACGGTTTTAAAAACAAAAATTAAAATAAATTTATGGTGAGAAAAAGTTTTAACCTTCGATTGTCAACTTTAATGTACTTCAAAATTCTAATACATATTTAGTAAATATATTGCACACTTATACATTGTTTAATGTTTATAATAACATAGTTTTTGGTATACAAAATTTATACGTTGAACAATAATAAACTTATCTATATAATAATATAATAGTTAATGTATATATAATAAATATGGCACTATTTTTCTAACATTTATGCCCATGGTAAAAGAAAATGTATTTTATTGTTATTATTGATAGTATTCTGCTTAGAGAACACAGTTAGGCAACGTTATCAAGATTTTAAACATAGAAAAATGTATGTTGTCTGTTAAATGTTTTAATTCACAACCGATCAATAGTAATAATAATGTTTTGTGGATAACAATAAAATACATTGATAAACATTTAATATTATCTATTTGTCTAACTGTATGTAATAATCAACTATAGATACATAATTTATTAAGTATTATAATTTTAAACATTAGTCAAAAAGAAATAAAAAAAAATTAAAAAAATAAAACAACAATTTAAATAAAATAATATATAAAACAAATTAATCCCTTCGTGACCTTTATTCAGAATAATAAAATTGACTAGTCTGATTTCATTAATTATCTAGTAAAATCTTATTGTTTCTCTTTTTAACCAACATATCAATACATTACACAATCAAAAATAATAACAATTTGGTATTGACTAAAAAAAAACTTAAAATCAAAAAACAAATAGTTCAATGTGCATCTCAATAATTGTACTGCACATTTAAGCAAGTTTCATGTATAAAAATATATGCGTGTAAAAATTAACTTTGGTTAAATAATTAACAAATTTAATTTTCTTAAAGAAAAAAACATATCTAAACTAAAACAAGTTAATAATCATAATTAAAGAAAATATATTTAGTCGACAATAGATTAGTTTTTAGGGATTATTGTGTTGAAAGTCAAAATTAAATCACTGTCGCCATGAGTGACATATTCAATAGGAGCCATATAAAATTAAAACTAATATTCTCTCAGGAATTCAATAATAAAATATGTAATAAATTAAATTATTGTTTGACAATACACCAGAACTAAATAATAATACATTTGTATTGTGGTGTGTGAAAAGGGATCAACACCTGTCTGCACTCACTTCTCTTATAGCAATTTTGGAGTTAGCCATTTCTGAACACGATTTTGCCTTATATAAACGGTTATCGGCATTCTTCTTGCTAAATAGAATTTGTGTACACAGTTTTTTTTGTAAGTTCAAATACTTACTAAACAATGAGATACGTTTGGACGTCTGATGTTTTTTATATTGAGGTAAATTTGATATGGTTGCAGAGTTTTTACCAGCAATGGTATTGTCTGTAGATACCTAAAAATAAAAAAAAAATAAAAATATGTAAATAATTTAATTTTAATTTTTTGAAATTATTATTAATTAAGGGTTCTCACCTGACAGTTTTTGTTGGTTGATTCAAAATTATCGCAGTTAGCAGTTGAACTTGGGATATTTACTTCAGATTCTTGAACTTCAGTAATACGATTTAAACTTTGACTCTCTCTTAATCTAGTTTCAGCTGATCTACCCCTTCGACTCCTGGCATTTGCACTTATGCATCGTCGTCTGCCAGCAGCATTACCACTTGGTTTTTCTGTTTTATTTCCACTGTTCCCATCTCCTTTTTGAACATCAGTATTGTGTTCTTGTGAGGGCTCTGAGCTTTGCCCACCAGCATTTCCCATTCCGTCATTATCAGGATCCTTATCATTACCCTTAAATGAAGCCAATGATCTACTACTGCCACGCTTTTTACGGCCATCAGTATCATCATCACTGGTTTCAGAGCTGCTACAGGATGCTGTACGGTTTTTATGCATTTTGCTTCGCCTTTGTTCATATGTTATGTAGTTACTAGTTCTGTTTTGCTTATCTTCAAGAAGTAATTGTGGTGAACTGTGAGAAGCCACAAAAGGTGGTGGGATTTTGTTAGGCGTGATAGAAACAGATGCTGGATTTGTTTCATGAACTTCGGTGATCAAAAGTTTTTTTGTTTGTAGTTCAGAAGCTATAGTATTCAATTTTCCTTCTGACCTAGAGCCTCTTCTATTTAATGAACTATTATCATCATCTTCTTCCTCATCTTCCTTTTCATCTTCTTCTTCAACTACAACACTACACTTTCGTGTTCTCTGTTAAATCAACAAAAAAAAAACAAAAATTAAATGTGTCTATAAATAGATTAATTTATTTTTTTTATTACTTTAGGACGATCAGAATGCAATGATCCTAATATAACAGATTTAGGTGCTGAATTATTGACTACCATCAAAGCATTGTTTTGATTAGAAGTATCATCTACTTTTAACTGAGGAACTTTCATATCACTAAAAAAATATAAATAAAAAAAAATAAATGATAAAAATATTTAAAAGTATTAAAATGTACTTTTTAATAGCTTGAGATTTTTTGGGTGTTGAATACTTCAATTTTCTTTCTGCGAGTAAATAATAGGTAGCTGTAATATGATTATACTCGTTTTTATCCAGAGCACTGCATTAACAATAAATATATTAATTAAAAAATTATATCAAATATATTTGAACATATTTATATATTTTCAATATTTATTTGAATAAAGATTGAAGAAAAATTAAAAGTCAGCCAACTTACTCCACAATTTGTTCTTTTGTAGCAATTTTTCCACTTATCATTTTTTGTATAATTAATGCATGGTCGTCTTCGTTAATTAATTGTTTAGATACCAATGGACTTTCGTCATCACTTATCACTTTGACATCTTTCAACCAAACATCTGCCGCAATCTCATCAAGAGTAGCTCGTTTCTCAGGATTCCTCACAAGCATACGACTTATAAGTGCTTTACATTCTTCGGACACGTGATTGGATACTTTGTATTTACAGTCCATAATCATTGTTAAAGTTTCACTATCATTAGCTGAATGAAATGGTGCTTCACCACATACTAACATGAACAAAATTACACCCAACGACCAGATATCTAAAAATCAATACATATATAAAAAATTATCAATATTAGTTATATAACTTAAATGAGTATCATAAATATAACTAATTAGATTATCTACAATTATTATAATTAATTAGACAATCAACAGACTGAATGTTTATCAATTTAGAAATATCTTTAAAATAAAAATACTTCAAATTTGTGATAGTTTAAATAAAAAATACATATATTTTAAACTTTTTTTTACTAATAAATTAACTATTATATCCAATTGAATTATAAGATTCCCACCGAAACATTAATAATACTTAAATTGTATACAGATGCAACAAAAAATTAAGAAACTATAGCCTATGAATAAATTCATCACGAAACTAATAAAAAAAAATAAAATAAATATTGATTATTTTTAGTTATTAGATTAAAAAATATCTTTATATAATATTTAAAATTCTAGGTGATCAATGCTAACACTTTATAACTGCTAAAATGCCAATAAAAACCCTTGAGACTGATTCTACTATAGCAACCTAATCAATGTCAAAATAGCAAGCTATCATTACTATAAAAACAGTGTCAAAGACTAAAATAATATAATATGAATTATGAACATGTATTCAAGCACAATGCACGTGACAATACTTGTCATTTTGTTACAACAACTACAAATAACCACTGAGTGAATTAATTGTTTGGAACTATTCTAATTTAATGACTGAACACTAATATTTTTATTATTATTATTATTATTATTAATATAAGACTATATTATACAATCTATATAAATACTGCATAATTACCAATATATTGTGTAATAAGAAGAGAACACAATTTTGATTGTGTGAGCAAGAAATTACCCATTAGTAACACTTAGGTCACTTACATTTAAAAGAAAAATCACACAATTCAGATAGATTAAACTTCAGATAAAACCATACAAAAATCAACTTGTTAAATTAACAAAAATAAAGCATTTTTCTCACCAACAGCAGTAGCATTATACGAATTCCCAATCAAAATTTCAGGAGCTGAATAAGCCAATGAACCACATGATGTTTCTAATTTTTGACCAGGACAAAATGTATTGCTAAATCTATAAAAAATTATTTTTATTAATTTATAAATAATTAAATAATAAACAAAATATGATAATAATTAAAAAAACCAACAACATAACTCACCCAAAATCTGTAAGTTTAACAATCCCTTGTTTTTCAAAAAAAACCACATTTTCAGGTTTCAAATCTCTATGTACAACATGCAATTTGTGACAGTACGATATTGCTCGAACAATCTGCGCAAAATATTCACAAGCCAATTGCTCAGACAATCCGCCTTCATGTCGCATAATGTAATCATATAAATCTCCACTATCAGCTAACTCTAGTATAAGATACAATTTACTGTGTGTATCAATCACTTCATATAATCTCACAACATTAGGATGTTGCACTAATTTCATACATCGAACCTATAAATAAAAATTCTTAATACTTTTCTCCATAATATTAAACAAAGGGTCATAAATAAACAAATTATGAATTAATTATACCATTAACCTACTACCTACAGTACATTTCTTTTCTGTAACTAGTCAATTATAAAATAGCTGTAATATATTAAGTTCCAAAAGCATAGTTTTGATTTGGACAAACATTAAGTCCAAGCACCATGTCACACTATGCCCTATATATTATATCCATGATTATAACATAATAATATAGGTAATTTTAAAATTTAACTATCTTATATCAAATATAAATCAATGCAATAAACATTTTAAAAAAAAAAGAAGGTTCTGGGATTGGGGATCTATTACCATCATCCCACCCACTATAACTACGCCATTATTAGGTTTATCATAGATATCTAATTAATTTGAATAAAATATTAAAATATAAATTATTCTAATAAAAGATACAATTTGTACATTATTTTTTTTTTTTTTTAATTAAAATAAGTTGATTTTAAAAGAAAAGTTACTACAAAAAAAAATGTCAAATAATGAGTGAAATCACAAGAATGGTTAATATATTCTTTTGAGTTAACCATCTAGGAACATTGAAATTATATTTTGATTGTCATTATCACAAAATATAATGCATGAGAATAATTTGTTTAATTTTGAGTTATGTACTATGAATTAATTACTCATAAGTTGTTCAAACATTTATATAATATTATTAATATAAAAAACCATCATCAAAAATATTAAATTACTATGAGCATATAAAAGGTTATTGTTTTACTATTTCATACAATTAAAATCAACATAATTGAACTATTGAATTAATAATTGATAAATAGTTATTACTTGGTATGGATAAAAAGTAATGATTCTAATTGATTAAAAAATTTAATGTTTATAAATACATACATAAACATTTTAATTATAATTTATTGTTTGATTTATACTTGTTAAAAATTAAAAGTAGGTACCTACTTATGTAATAAAGATAGTAGTTGTTACAAGATTAAAACAATCATATCTAAAGCATTTTGTAACAATATTCTACCCACTTCAATATTTTTTTTTTTTATTTATCTAGTAACTGCATAAATTATTGCAATTAACTACATATCTACTGGTTGAAAACTTGTAAATAATATATCTTATTATTTAAACTACGAATACCTAACTACTATTTCAAAAGAATATTAATTTGTTACACAATGGGTAATAATAACAAGTGATTCATATTCTGTAATTCATTATCAATATAAAAAAACAAAATACCTACCTAGTATCTACATGACAAAAAAAAAACTCGATTGAAATCAATAATATGACTACTTTATATGAATATTGAATATTATTTTATGTTGTTAGTGTACAAAGAGAATACCGTAATAAATGATAGATCAAATTTAAAACAATTAAATACTATCTACTGAAGTTACATATTATGTCCTAAACAGCACGAGCAGTTGTTGATGTAGGTGATATTTCTGCTGTATAAAATTGTAATAATTTGATTACCATTACAATGGTTACGATAATAATTCTACGATTAAATTGAACTGAAAATTAATTACACGGAAAACGATAAATTAATAGAAGAAGAGCCAATACAATACTGGTTAGAACACAAACATTTGATAGGATACAAATTACTTTATGTACCTATAATGTTAATAAACAATAAACCAAGCCTAACCATATTAAAACTGCGGTCAGATTAAGGTAAAATAGTGTCATTCTACAAATATTAAGCAGTAACAATATCAAAACAATGTCTCGACAAAGCATCACATCAGATTAAAACGTACTAACGGGTACAAAACTGCAACAATGATATAACACAATGGCACTCACCTCTTGGTAAAGATGATTACGAGAGACTTCTTCCAGCTTATTCTTGTCTATCACCTTGACGGCAACCTGCTCACCAGTGAACACATGCCTGGCCATCTTGACGACGGCAAAGTGTCCTTTACCGATCGTCTGCTCCAAGTCGTACATACCGGCGATGTTGCCACCATTGTGCTTGGCCGGTTTGACCGTGTCGGGTTTGCCGATCACGCCGCTACTGTGTTGCATCGTCGATCCACCGACACACCCCGACAACGACCACAACCACCAAAACCACCAATCAACCCAGACAGGCGGTCTCTTAACGTTTCGGACGGAAACTATCGCGGTTTATTAAAACGTCCATCGTCGTCTGGCGACCGACTCTTCTGGCGTGGCACCCCTAACGTCAAACGACGTTCCTTCTCCTCGGTTTCAATACGGGTTTCCGGTATCGATAATATCTGTTTGTCAAAACAATAATAATCACTCGAAAAAACTTACAGCTACGATAACTACGGTATTATTTTTCAGTGTTTATTAGTCATATAAAAAAATTCAACACATTTATGGATCAGCACTACTCAGTCACTGCCAGGCGCCAGCAGCTAGTGGCTAGTGCTCGGCACTAGTTAGACCGCTGCCACCGACTGTGTAGGTATTTTTTATAAAAATGGACACTGATAAGAAACAGAAAATTTATCAAGCGCGCGCTCTCACGGCCACCCACGAAATAGATTCGAAGCATAAAATAGATATATATTAATAGACCCATGAAAAATCATAAACACCTGTGCTGTTCGTGAGAAGGTGCGTGAACAGTGCTGCCGTAGAATTAATAAATATAACTTTAACGCTAACGTTAGTTTTAATCAATAAACGATATTTTAATGGTTTTACAATGATGTGCTATTCATTTTTTCATCAGCCATCACGTTTGACAGCACAAAACTATGCAATACTTGACATTGATGGTACTTCTATTTTCCGGTAGCAAACTTTATCTAGTAGAAACAACGGTATTTTAGAGCAGGGGTCGGCAACCCGCAAAACAATTTTTGATGGCCCGCACAAAGGTGGTTAATTTTTGTGTTTCACTTTTGTTCAATAACATTTTTCATATAATTTTCAATATTATATAATTCTTTTTCCTTTATAAATAAAATATAATCTAACCGTTTCATAATAGCAATACAATTATAAGTATTATATCATAATATGTAATATTTTTTTTTAATGTGGCCCTTGATGAACAATTGAAAAAAAATGGCCCGTGTGGTTAAAAAGGTTGCCGACCTTTGTTTTAGAGCATTGGGCGGTCAAAAATAGGGAAGGCGAGCTTGCAAATAGGATAAGGTATAAATAGAATATGTCCTAACCACAGCAGAGAATTAATTGCGGCGATTTTTAATTTTGCACCAATCCATTCATATTTGACGTCATTGTTATTAACAACCGTTCAACCAGTAACCACAGATAAATTCGACGATAATTATCAGTTATTATTCATCTTAAGTATAAAAAAATAATTAAACGAATATAATATAAGATTTATGAAGTAATATCAAAACATGTACTATAACTAACCATAAGGCAATATAGAGGCAACTAAAAGTAGTAATTTTCATAGTAATTACCTGCAAATTGAGTTATGATGTGCCAATTTTTTTATATTATTTAATCAATAAAATAAGAGTTACCAAAAGTTAATTCAAAATTAGTAATTCACAATAAATCCTATTTCCTCCACTGAAATAATTTACTAATAAATGCGTTATATGCCGAGTACCAATTCATTTACATCGTTAGATGAATGACGATCGGTAACTTTTTTTTTAAAGCTTTGTCCAAGGACGTGATATTTTTTTTTCAAACGAAAAAAATAAAAATATTCAATAGTTGACATCATTAACAAAATTGCGAGTACACCGTTTTTTTTTTATCAATGTGCGTTAAAAAAAATAGTAACATAAATATAATAAAATGAAATATTCCATGTTTACCGGATTAAAGTTTATTTAAAGGAGATTGGAAGAGGTGTATTCTTATTTTTAATCAAGTACATGTGCCAATGGCGTAAAATGTGATGATATAAATATTCTCTATTTCCAACGTATAGATTAATATAATGAATGAAACGAAAAGACTTCGAAAACAAATATGGATTTAGCATTAAGTCTTCTCGAGATCGAAATTCCCGCAATTTTGATTAAACTTTTACAAAAATTGAAATGTCTACTTTAAAATATAACCGTTTTTAGGCACAAAATCAAAAATGTGGAAAAATCGATCTCAGTTGCCTCAACAAATTCATATCCTATTTTCAAAATTCTTATTGCTTCGTTATTTCAATTTGTTGAAAATAGAAATAGTCTTTGATTCTATGTAGCTTGAGTATTAGGCAAAAACAGAAAATTACTGCTTCCAATCCTCTTATAAACGTAGAGTGTGATCACCAAAACGAGCATATAATCTGTAGATCAAATAGGTAACGATATTTTCTAAACATAGGTTATAAGTACCAATTGAAAAATGGAATTGAGAACACGAATTAAATATCTGTAATTTGAAAATCCACAAATAACAATTGTGATTATACTTCATTGTTTAAATTACCTCAAGTATATTAACAAAAAATTTTTAATCTGTAATACAGATTTCTATGGAACCAAAAAATAAACCATAAAAATGATTTGCGATAACATTTTTATCAATACTTAAAAGAAAATATTGATATGGGTACGATTGTAAATTTCAATCAAACATTGAAGCATAAATATTATATATAAAAGATATTGCATATTCTATTTTATAGTAAACAATTAACAAATTAAAAATCAGATCTCTTAATTTAGAATAAATTAAATAAATTTTTGTAGTAAAAAAAATTGGTAGAAATGTTATAGTAGATAAACCCCATTTAGATGAATTATAACACTTATTCCTAAGTTAGACAATAACATATTACTACATTCATAAAGATCAACATTGAAAATACTCATGAAAGAATAAAACAATTTTGTACAAATAATTAAAATAAATATATTTTATTAAAATATATTCATCATAAATGAACAAATATTGATTTACTAATCTTACACTAAGTAATTAGCTTCAAGATATGAAAGTTTAATAAATGTGATCATATAACTAAAAAATAATATAATTTATGTTAGAAACTAGTAGTTATTTTTAACATATAAAATATTATTAACTGTTAAAAATCCATCTTACATTGTAAAATTAATATATAAACAATGATTAAAATGTAAAGTAAATTAAAAAATATTGATGAAAAGCACTAAGCTAACACTCAAACTATAATTGTTAATTTCACTAAGAAATTATGTAGATTACTATAGAAAATGTCATTTAGAAAAATAAGAAATCTTATTACGAGTAATGTATTTAATCCTTATGAATATCTTATAACTTAAATTAGAAATACTATATTATGTCTATAATTATTGAAACACCAAAAAACTGAAGTTTCTTAGCCAAGGATTTTAATAAAAAAAGAAAGAAAAAATGAATAGAAAACTCATTTAATATTAGTTAATCCCAACGTCAAATCTCTAAAATATAATTTTTGAAATTATACGGATGGAATAAGGAGGAATGAACAATCATACTTTACAACACAAATCAAACAATCATCTCCAAGTAGAAGTCAATTATGACAAATTGATCATTTAAATACACACTGAATACTGTTTAGACAATTAAAATTTTCTGTGGGCTGGTCTTCCACCTCCCCATGACCTGTTTCCACCACCGCCACCGCCGTACCATTTGTTACCACCACTCGCTAAAATAAAAATATAAAATTAAGTAAAACAATCATCAAAACCAAAAGTTAAGAATATAATTAACTTACGGAAAGAACGTGCAGCCATGGCAGCTAATTTGGGATCAATACGTTGGTTGGCTTCAGTAAGAACAGCCACAAGGTCTTTGGCTTGCTTACTATTGGAATGGGTAAAGAATGCATATGAGGTACCTTTCTGAGATGATCGTCCAGTTCTGCCTATTCTGTGAATATAATCTTCAGAGTTGTTGGGGTAATCGAAATTGATAACAAATTTGACATCATCGACATCTAAAAATGTATTATAATTTACGTGATGATCATGACATAATACAAAAGTATTCAAATAAAAGAAAAAAAATAATTACCTAAACCTCTGGCAGCAACATCAGTAGCAACCAAAATATTAGCTCTTCCATTCCTGAATTCTAAAAAATTAATTCAACATTAATTTAAATCAATAAAGAAGTTTACCAGAACTTACGTTTCAATACATGGTCACGTTCAGATTGTGATTTGTCTCCATGAATTCCAACAGCTCTAGCCCTTAAAATTCAAATAATATATTAAAATAAGAAAATGTACTAAACATTTAAAATATAGCTGTAGACAAACAACAAATCATGTGACAAGATACTATGATAAATTGGACTCAATATTATCACAATTAAGTAAATCACATCACTAATTTAAATGTATATTTTATTCTTCCCATATAATCAGATCTTCTTAGAGGACAAATAAACAACACAAAGAATGTTTAAGAATTGGATCATCATGCATATATGAAAATGTAAAAATGAGATTCAATTTAAGTATAACCAATTCAGATCTTCTTAGAGGACAATAAAACAACACAAAGAATGTTTTCAAAGTAAAATCATCATGTAGCTTATAAGAATATATATATATATTTTAATATGAATAAAAATAAGGGCTAAATTTCAGATCTTCTTAGAGGACAAATTAAACAACACAGTGTATGTTTTTTTTTAAAGTCATCATATAAATTAGCCTTATTATTAAATAGAAGTTTAAAGCAAAGACTAGTTGTTTTTGACTTACCCCATATTAGTTATTTTACGTGTGATTGTATCAACCTTGCGCTTGGTTTCTGCAAAAATGATTGTTTTATTTTCTTCCATATTAGCAATATCTTGCAATAAATCCATTAATTTGTCCTCCTTTTCATGTTCTTGACACACGTCCACATTTTGTAAGATATTGTGATTAGCAGATAATGTTAATGAACCAACATTCAATTGTATGTAATCACTTAAGAAATCATTAGCCAATTTTTGAACTTCTTTAGGCCATGTGGCTGACCACATCAATACTTGTCGGTCAGGCTATACATAAAAGTACATTAGAAAGACGGTTGCAAATAAAACCAAGTATATATAAACTTACGCGAATTTGTTGAATGATTTTTCTAATTTGAGGTTCAAAACCCATGTCAAGCATACGGTCAGCTTCATCCAATACTAAATAGGTACAACGTTGTAAATTGGTCGCACGAGATTCTAAGAAATCTAATAGACGACCTGGTGTAGCAATAACAATCTCAACACCATTCATTAAATCTCTAGCCTATGAAGTTAATGAACAATTTAGTATAGGCAATAAATAAAGTTCCAATTTAAATTGTCGATTATGTAAGGAAGTAACAGTTTTATAATGCATTCATCGCTGGGCACTGAAAACTCTTCGTTCAAAACTGATCAGCTTTAACTTACTGTTTTTTCAGTGCTGCGAGAAGTAACATGCTGACGATTTTAGTTTCCGGTGTCTAAGGAAATAGATCTAGGATGAGAGTTCTTAGGAAGAAAATGTATCGGTTTTGTTGAACCGAAAAATATATGGCC